AAGTAAGTAAGTAAGTAAGTAAGTAAGTAAGTAAGTAAGAAGAGAGAGAGAGAGAGAGAGAGAGAGAGAGAGAGATATATATATATAAAGAGAGAGAGAGAGAAAGAAAGAGATATAGAGAAATATGTATACATAGATATATATAAAGAGAGAGATATATATATAGAGAGAGAGAGGGCGGGGTTGGTTGGTATATAAAGCCACGAGTACAAGGCTGGAGGAGACGCCATTAAGAGCGGAGTTCAGTAGTGATAATAGTATCTCTGGTTTTACAGATGTGCATTCCGTCCTCGCACAATGCACTCCTGACTGTCATCATTGTACCGGTACCAAAAAAATGTCCGTCGAAATGCTGAATACACAAAGTGATCGTAGAATGTCCCGTAAAGGTGGGAACTCGAGCAAAGACTTCACGTGTTATTGAGCAGGGCAAAAGGGAACCCAGCAGAGAGCTCAACTAACAATTTACTCACTAGCACTTAACTAACCAACAGTAGTACCGTTTAACAGATGACTAACCAACAGTGTACCTACCGATATTCTACCACTTGTAAAACCACACTCACCGTCATGAAATCAGAAGTGATAAAGGTGCGAATGGCGATTGACCTGCCAGTAGTAGTGGCGCCCGCCGTGTTTTTAGTCTCCGAATCAAAGTCGACTGGGAACGAGATGACTGGTACCTGAGGTGATGGGAGTGAGGGTTATACAAGAGGTGTGTTAGCGTTTAACGGACAAGGGGGTGGGGGCGGGTCACATCTCCGAATGGGTATAGGTTTACACTATCGACAGAGTACATGCACACATACAGTATACGGAGTCTAGCAACGCGTTCACAAACAGTATATGCGCAGTTTCGGCACGTTTCTTTAGAAGAGCCAAAAAGCCGTGGAACACGGACAAGCTGTAGATGTCGAACGAAGTAGCAGTAGACGACTCATACAAGTCCCAACATATTCAACGACGGTTGCGAATTTCAGTATATATATTGGCGGTATGGGTTGCGCACTGTGGAATGTTGTACTTGAGATGTTATTCTCAGGATTTTCGCATACAAGGTTGCATATATATGTACATATATGCATACATACATACATGTGCGCGTCCTTACCTGACTTAATGTGCGCACGAGATTGTGTTCCATCAGAAGCTCGTTGACAATCTTGTCAGCGGCCCTCAGCTGTGTGAGCACATCGGGAGTCAGGCACGTGGGGGTGATGTTGGTTATGCTACCCTTAACCAGTCCTCCAAAGGTGTAGACGATACGGTTAACACGATGGCACAGACGCGGGATAACCTTTGCCAGCAGGAACATGGCCGCCCAGGAGACTACGGGGCTGTGTGTAAACGCGTTATGTGGTGGTTAGATTTATACAATGAACGCGTGTAATCACTAATAATACGGAGACAGGGGTGTATGTAAACATATTGTAAACGAATAAAACTGGGAGATAAGGGTGAGCACTCGAGCTGAACTTCAGAGTCAAGTTAGGGTCTGGAGAAAACTAGCTGATATTAGAATCAGACGTGTGTTTCTGTGAAGTACTGGGAATACAGAGACACCATTGAGACCATGTGTGATACTTCCGGTCAGTGCTGCAGGGCACTGTGAATCTCGACATCTATGACAAACGCGGTAGACTCATACATATGAACACACACACACACATATACATATAAATATATGAATATATATACACACACGCACATATATATATATATACACACACGCACATATATATATATATATATACATACATACAACATATGTGATACATACATACGTACAACATATGTGTCAGTATATACGTACAACATACTTGTCAGTATACACGTACAACATACTTGTCAGTACATACGTACAACATACTTGTCAGTACATACGTACAACATACTTGTCAGTACACACGTACAACATACTTGTCAGTACACACGTACAACATACTTGTCAGTACATACGTACAACATACTTGTCAGTACATACGTACAACATACTTGTCAGTACATACGTACAACATACTTGTCAGTACATACGTACAACATACTTGTCAGTACACACGTACAACATACTTGTCAGTACATACGTACAACATACTTGTCAGTACACACGTACAACATACTTGTCAGTACACACGTACAACATACTTGTCAGTACACACGTACAACATACTTGTCAGTACATACGTACAACATACTTGTCAGTACATACGTACAACATACTTGTCAGTACATACGTACAACATACTTGTCAGTACATACGTACAACATACTTGTCGGTAGAAAATGACATACATATAACATACTTGTCGGTAGAAAGTGACATACATATAACATACTTGTCAGTAGAAAGCGCGCATACATAGCTGTACGTTCGCCCGTCGCCCTGTACACCCACCGTGCGGATGGGCAAGAGAGTGGCCGAAATTTGACCCACCTGCCCAACCAACGCTTCGTCAGTCATGGCTCCCAGGGTCTGTTTGACGCGCACTTTGGTCTCTGCACTGCACAGAGGGTATTTCGCAATCTCACTCACCAGCGTCTGCGTAATGTAGACGGGGAGGAGAGAGAGAGAGAGAGAGATTGTGAGGGGATGGTCTGATACTCAAAAGTAGTCAACAAGTATAGAGCACTAATATAGAGAGCTTGAGGGGATGGTAGGATATTCAAACATGTCTATACAAGTATAGGACATCGCATATTCATCGCATACACACCAATATGATACAACCCCTGTGCATACATACCCAGCTACTATAGCCATCCTTCCCTTGTACATATACTACCATACTTCAACCCCCGGTGCATGGTCTGATACTCAAACACATCTAAACAAGCATAGGACATCAGCCTAACGAGGCCAGCATGTGAATTGCTTCATCACGGTGCATATACACCAGGAAGATATAACCCCTGTGCATCCAAAACCAGCTATTACAGCCATCCTTTCCTTGTACATATACTACCACACTTTAACCCCCCGGTGCATGGTCTGATACTCAAACCTATCTACACAAGTATAGGACATCAGCTTGACGTGCTCCGTGCTTAGTCATGCGTTGGCATAGTCCCCGCGTGGTGAATTAGTACACCAATCCCATGGCCGACTGAACTATCACAACCAAATATCATGATAGAAGACACACAACAATCATTGTACACACCACATACTGAACTATCACAACCAAATATCATGATAGAAGACACACAACAATCATTGTACACACCACATACTTGTGTTTCTTGGAAGTCTTCACAGACATAGGGCTTATCAGCGCAGATCACCCGGATAGCTATTCCGGGCCCTGGGAATGGCTGTCTATGTACCAGCTTGCTAGAGAGACCCAGCTCTTTGCCTAGCTCTCGTACTTCGTCTTTGTGGTAGTCTCGCAGAGGCTCAATAACTCGTCCCCTATTGGTTGATGAGGGCCCATTCAGGTTCAATTTGAGCTTTAATATGCCACCGGGGGACTGGCGGGGTTCTCGTAGCACTTGCCGAATATATGATACCAATACATGTATCTACATATGTGAGCACACACGATTGTATCTGCACACACATAGATAAACGTATACAAACAATACATACCTTCGTCGTAGTTCGCGCACAAGCTCTGTATCATTGTGGTGTGTTTTGATGGCCTCGGCCTTGTTGCTGACCATCGAGGACGCGCTCTCGATCAGATCAGGTCGCAGGGTGCCTTGTGCAAGGTACACATCCTCGGGGTCTAGTTTAAATGACTGTGTGTGTAGGTATCCGGGTGGTAGATATATATATTAGGAGACGACATATGACACAGCTCTGCCCCAGTGCATATCCTTATGAGTCGGTGTATAGGGCTCAGTGTGTAGGTACTAGTACAGGCGAGGTGACTCGTACATTAAAAGTGACCCTATAATGTACAGCTCAGCATCACATGTTTACGATAATGTGCGTGTAAGCACATTGAAACGTCTATATTTCAAACGCTGTGCATTTCGTGGAGGTACCAGTCGTTCGACCTTGTGCCGTGGCTACAGCCCTGGCTTTACCATACAATATACCTATAAAACGTTACGTCTATTTCGAACCAATAACAGTATGCGTATCTCTTAAGGTATGAACAAAGAATATGTTTGAAGCAAAAACCTTTTACGGTTCTACAGATCACGTCCTAGTGCATTCGGCCGATACAACGGCTGAGGAGAACAAAGAACCCACGAATCAATCACAGAAGTGCACCACTGAGCACCCTGTGCTATTAACATAGAAACACAAACAACAGCCACTGAGCATTTACTACATCTCGAAAGACACACTACTTGCTTTATAATAGAACACACCTGTATGTTTATAAGGTCTTTACTGGGTGCACATGCCCTCCGCAAGACTTGGTGTGACGCCGTGTGCATTTCATCACAATCATACCCACACACACACATATATATACCTTTATATTTGCATAAACACCTATATATATATATATATAGACACTCACACACACATATATATATACATATATGCACACGCACACACATATATATATATACATGCACACACACACACACACATATATATATATATGTATGTATATGGTTTCATATGGATATATATAGATATAGATAAACACACAGATACATACAAAGTCACACACATGAATAATTATGTACGCGAACTCTCATACCCGAATCGCAGCCTCTCCAACGTGCATGAATGTGTCTCCAATGATTTTCCTCTTGGCCTCGGGATTCGTGGTGGACTTGAGCTTATCAGTCTCTGCGTTATTGATGGTTGTGGTGGCGTTGTAGAACGTCTCTGACGCGTCAACCACCTGTCAGGTTTACATACGAGCTAAGTAAGGATATATATATATATATATAGAAACATACGTATACACTTGTGTAAACAAACATTGTATTGTTTGTCACACACATCTACGGCATCGTGGCACTTTTTTGAAACCACCAAGCTGATAAAGCAGGTGTTGTGTTTAGTATTGTTAACATTACGTGATCAATCCCACTCCGATGTGATTTCTTATATAAAACCCAAGCAGTGTACTCAATCACGATACAAAACCACCACACACCCAGCATACATAACAATGTCCAGTAAACGATGCCCAACCAATGTGAGAAAACATCCCCGGTATATACATGGACCGGTCCAAAACGCGAATACAAACCTGTAGGTTGAGCCCCAAGCTTGCAAGAGATTGCTCCACCAGCTTACTCTCCTCGTGGCGCATGAATCCGTTATCGACGTGCAGGGCAATCACCCGTTCAGGCCCCACCGCTCTGCTGACAAGGGCGGCACACACAGTCGAGTCAACCCCTCCACTCACCAGTACAAGAATCTTCTTCTCCTTTCCGGTCAGCGCTTGGATTTCTGCGAGTGTTAAAGTGGAGTATGACACCGGGTAATAAAAGTGATTTATACTGTGGTGTTGATTCGGAAGTGGAATTTTGGGTCCGCCCTTTCATACAGCCCGCACAGATAAACGTTATTTACCCGCGCACAAACACCTGTGCGGTACCATACCTTCCACACACGCATCCTTGCGGTTGCTGACTGTGTAACCCCCTGAACAGCCCACAACTTCGAACAAGAAGTTCTTGAATATCTGCATGCCGTTCACAGACAGATCCACCTCGGGGTGAAACTGCACACCGTACAGCTTCTTGTCTTTGTTCTCGATAGCAGCGACAATCTCGCCTGAGGTTGCGATGGTCCTGAAGCCGGGTGCAACCTTGCCGACGGAATCTCCGTGCGTAAGGAGCACTTGCTCCTGCGCCTCCAAGCCCTGAAGGTTGGACCAATAGAAAGGCGGTATATGTCAGCTGAGCATATTCTAAAAATAGCACACATTATCTCCACCGTCTCGACACAAGCTCCTTTAGCGAGACGGTTGAGGACCAAACAGCTACAGGAGGCCGCAGGTTCTTGAAACCTTCGCAACACACGTCTGGATTTGTTTGAGGGCTATTTTCGAACGCAATAACAAGACTCAGCGAAGTATAGAACACCGGCGATGCAACACTTAAGAATAGCTTCGTTGTCAGCATGGTTGCACGCATCGACATAGTGATCTGGGCCATGAACTTGGAATCAAGGTCATATCGCACGAAGTACTGGTGAACAACTGCTACATGGGCAAGTGGTAAATGCGGCTTGCTATACACGTATGTATTGCAACAGACACAGCGAGGAGTGTCTCAGTGTGATTGTTTGGTACACCTTCTCGTACAGTGCGCATATACTGTCTATACTGTCAAATGTATCTTAAACGGATGCGACTTTGTACCTATTGTCCGAGTGCACACGAAGGGGCGATATTGTATTCTTATACTAGAGCTTACAAATCACACAAAGATTCGTAAATTAGTCCCGATTCTTATGAATACTCGCAACCAAAAACAAGCAACACATATAGTCAACAAATGAGAATTCGGTGCCAGATGCCTTGAAGAGCTGGTCCAACAATACATACTGGCGAATAGCCGTACACACGCTTAGCCTTACCTTGAACAAGTCACTGGTGAGTTCGCATTGGATGGGGTGTTGTCCATCCTCGCGCTGTGTCTTTCGCTCCACAGTGCCACCGAAGTGGACGTTCATGAGCTGCATGCCGTAGCAGATGCCGAGCACGGGGATGCCTGTGCTTCAACGAGCAAGTGAAGGGAGGATGAAGGTATGACTCGTTAGTTGTGGTTGCTTCTGGGCGATACTGAAGGTTCGTATGAACGGAAGGATGTACGGCAAATACTAGTTCTGAAAAAAGATTTCGGCTGACGGACACTACATTTGCACTATACATAATGGTTAAATGGTATGCAATATACGTACCGGAATCCATCAGCTCCTCACATATCTTGGGTGCATCTTTGGCGTATACACTGCCAGGCCCACCAGATATGATGATTGCCTTGTAGCCCGCTGCCCTTAAATCAGCGACAGAGGTTTCTAATGGAAGCAGCTCGGATCGCACGGACAGCTCACGGACTTTGCGGTCAATAACCTACAAAGAAAACGAAACAGTGAGAGGTCTGCATAGGAGGTATGTATAGCATTGGAATGTGCCTACATACGCCATTTCATCGTAGTTGGCGTGAGATTCTACCAGGTCACGCAAGAGTTTTCGGGGATCATTGGCTGAAGACTATGTAGGAAAGACAAACAGAAACTCAATCATAAGTACAAATAAAACAATGTGTGAATATACATATCTTACTACTACATAACTGAACGTATACATATCTTACTATTTAATGAATATGGTGCCTATATATAGATATACGCACGGGCACGCACACACACACACATATATAGATATATAAAACAAATAGATCTATTTATATTTATATATACATATATATACACAC